CATTGGTGTTTATATCTTGCATCCTAACCACATGAAAGCTCATTCGGTAGAGCAATCGCTCCGTGATCGGAAGGTCGTGGGTTCGAACCCCGAACACATCTGACCTAAGATAAAACATAGATAGCAAATGTTCCTTCGCCAAGTTTCAGCACTTTGACGTGAAATTTGCAGGTCCTTCGAATAAGACCTAAAAAAAAAAATGAGGCCCCGTGTCAAGGAGGTTTGCAGGAGTTGGCACGATAAAAATCCCTCACTGCTCGATGGCCCTGAAAGCCGAGTAAAGGTCTAAATTTGAAGCCCCTTACTGTTTATGGTGGTACCTCTCTATATGAGTGAAAAATTCTGGAATGGGATTTTATGATTCATTTTACTTTAAGATTCGATTTTTATTTAACCAATTTCGACGTTATAGTCAGTCATTTCTTGACTTTGATTTCTTTTTCTTCTTCTATTCCTTATTGGGACATAGGAGTTTGGCATGAATCTTTCAAACCCTACTTTTATAAAAACATGCAATTGGAAAAGTTCCTGAAATATTTTTAATGAAAATATCTATTCGTGTATATATATTGATTATGAAAAATCTCGTTTGTATTAAAATTTATTGATACAAAACAAACACTTAACATATAATGAAATATGTTCATAAATTCACAGTGTTGACAATGTTTCTGTAGTGTTAACTTTAAGTTCGCCTGTATCAAAAACAGAATTTACATCAACTGACTAATTTTGATATTTTGACATGGAAAAATAATATTAAAAAAGAGAGGAAAACTCAGTATATGAGGGATGTCCAAAAATTTCATTCTCCGTAGCGTTTTAGTGAATATGAATGGTCCTAGATACACATGTATCAGGACAGCCCTTCAAACAATTTTATATTTCACCAGAAAAAGCCGGGTCAGCTCGGGTTTCCTGTTGAATAGATTAAAAATTGGTCCTAATAAATACTTCCTAAAATAGGGTTGGCCTTCCGGTTAAGAAATAAAGAAAGTACTTATCCCTATACTGCTTGGTTAAGGTTTTAAATTACAATTTCTTCTTGTTTCTTATACAACACAAGTGTTGTTTAAAAATGTAGCTAAGAGTTTATCTATTATGTATATTTTTTCTTTTCCTTTAATTATACATAACTTTTTATTGATTGTAGATTTTTTGAGATAGATCACTGTTCGTTGTCTTCACCTTTTTTCATTATAATTATTCATTATACTTCAATGAGACTTTATTGGTTAGTATATATCTACAGTAAAACTTGTCTAATCCGGACATCACTGGTTGCAGAGAAATTAGTCGGATTGTGCAATATTCCGAATTAGACAACACTTTGAACAATTGAATTTACTGCAAAAGAAGTTAAATTTCACACCTTATTAGACAAAATTTCTGATTATACAACATCCGGATTACAAAAGCTTCACTGTAATTATAAACCAATTTAGACTCATTGGACAACTGTACAAAAGTACAAAAAAGGTCAAAATCTTTCCAACCAGGTAGAAATTATTGAACAGATAATAAACCTCAGAAAAATTGATAATTTAAAATATGAACTTTTCCACAACACAGAAAATCTCTTGATAATTTAAAACTATTTATATATCACTGGAACATTTTACACTGTAAAATCATCAGAAAAGTGCTGAAACATTTGATTCTGTTAATGATGCAATCATAGATCGGACTGACCTTGAGGAAAATAAGAAGTAATTATGGGTTTAATTAAAAGTAAAATATGTGATATATTTCCTTAATATGGTTAACTACCTGTGAAAATTTGCAAATAAAATAATGAACCTTAAAGATTGATGTTTTTTAAATCTTGTCTCACCCCCCCCCCCCCCAAAAAAAAATCTAAATGAATTTAAGATAAGATTTTTTCCCCCAAAGTATTCAATGTATATTAAGGTAAGGTTTGCAACCCCCTCCCAATTTTATTTTGTAAAAATTGTACATATGTCATATATATATATATATATATATATATATATATATATATATATATATATATATATATATATATATATATATATATATATATATATATATATATAAGGTGGACTTTGGCATAAAGTAGACCGCACTTATTTTGAGGCATTAAGTAGACATTTTTCATTTCTTTTATTTGAGACATTCTGATTCACACTTTCACCCAAATTTATTCTAATAGGCTTCAATAATGAAAATTTTACCCCCTCAGCCCTAAATGTTGCTTCCTGAAAAATATACGACATTTCTGGTCTCCTTAATATTTTGTAAATACATTGGAGGTTTAAGGTAGACATGTATATATTTTATGAGGATCCCGAAGGGTTAAAGTAGACCAAGTATATATAATGCATAAAGGAGACCAGAATATATATATATACGTGATTATGTAGACCATTTTCTTTTTTCTAATTATTTAAATAAAAAACTACACATGCATAAATGTACTTCTCATACCAGTATTTATTGGTCAATTTGCATTTATCTTAAGTAAAATATTAGGCACTTTAAAACCCAGTATGGTGATTCCTTATTTTAACTAGAAGGAACTAATAGGGTGATGTCTATTCGTAGACAAATTTTCATGTCCTGAATCTTATGGAAATATAGTAAATGACCGATAGTAATTGTTATGTTAAGAAAATATTTCATCCACCACCAAAGAAACACATTGATTTAAAACGTCGTAGTCACATGATGACTTATGGTATAGAATCATCATCTTAGCCACAATCACCTGTACATGCTAGATATGACCTCTTGAAACTATAACCTTGTGCTTTTCTAAAAAAAAATTGTATTTTAGAATTTTATATATCCAATTTATGTCATATACTCTGAGCATAATGAACCCTAGGATAATATAATCTTTGGAAGTTATTTTATAGTTATTTTATAGTGGTCAAAAATTGAACTTGATGCAGGGTTGTTATACATCCCCAAGTCACAATTATCCCTTTGCCTTGATTTACATCTAGTATAACAATAATGTGATTGCCCGCTTGGCGCAATGGTCAAAGCATTTGCTCTAGAGTAGTGGGGTAAGGACTTGTTCCTTAAGTCATAGGTACAAATCCCACTGAAGGACATGGAAACCGGTTCTTCCAATGAAACCAAATTCCCTTGTTGCAGTATATGCTGGGACAAGAAAAGACCTCTCACTGCTCAAATGTACAGGTCTATATTTGCAGCCCTCAACCAGCAAGTTGTGGTGTCTCAATACTAGTGAAAAATTCTTAAAGGATGTATAACAATAAACAAACAGAATTATGTGTTTATCTGACTATTTATTACATTTCTAAACCCTATGGCCTTGACCTGTATTAACCTGTGTTAGGATCATACTCTGAGGTTACAAACAATTATTGGTAAGTATTTAATACTTTGATATACAGTGACTATGACCTTGTGCAAAAGACCATTACTACTGGGTCTAGAATATTTCTGGCCCCAAGCTACCTTTGTTTCAAAAGATGTCTACTCACAGAAGACACGTAGACTTCACAATTCCAGTAACTTCATTTGTTGTTGTATAAAAATGTCAATATTTCCCCATGCAAAAAAAAGTTTGTAAAACAACCCCTTTTCTTCTCATGTCTAAGATCTCTATCCTAAATACACATTTGTCACAGTCACTGTCTACTGAATTCATAAATCTAAAGGTAGTTCATACAGTCTTATTTTAATTCATATTTTTGTGTCTTTAACATCATTACACATATAATTTTTCCATGTTTGAATAGACAATAAAAAATGGAAACAATAAATACAATGAATTAGATTTGTTATAACTGTAACAAATAATGCAAATATGTGCAAGTCATGTAAAATTTCATTTTATTTGTAAATGTGTATTACATTGGTGACATTTGTATACTGTTCAATACATGCATAAGGACTTCTATTTCAATCTTCACAACATTAGTTTGTATAAAGTAATAAATAACTAGTATTTTGTACACAAAAATAACATCAATAAAAATAACAATCTTTTACATATCTATAAATATACACAAGAGGAATAAAACACTATTTTGAAATAATCATTACATTTTCATTTCTTGTCAATTAAAAAAAATGAATAGCATTATTAAACTATTACAACATGTTTTAAACCACAAATTTGTGTTCTAAAAATGCATTAGATACAAAGTGAGATGCACTGATTAACTGTTCATTGTAAGTTGAAATGAAGTTATTACTTATAAAAATACTTTGCATTAAAAAGCAAATCTTTACATAGTTTATTTGATGAGAATATTCCCTCCAACAATAAACTGGCAAGCTGTAATACAGACTCTGAAATACCTATACCACCTATTTCAAATAGTACAGTTTGCATTTCAACCATGAGATTATTGACCTTGAAAAATTATAAATGTTTTCTTCTCTTTGAAATGAACATGTGTGCTATGAAAGGGATATATTAAATAATGTTATTACAAGACATACAAGTAATTTTTATCTTGATAAAAAATAGTGACCTTCTCATGTCAATTAAGAGAACCATTTCACACAATATGTGCTAGAATCTCATCTACAAGGTGTTGGCAGACAGGCTACCATACTAATACATCCCTATAAATGAGTTGCAAATATAAAAGAAGTACCTGAAAGTCATTCAGAAAAATTTTTAAAAAGCTGGCTTAAAGATGCTACATTTGTCAGCTGAAATGCATCTTTCACAATACATTCCTAGCATATAATTTTGTGCATATTATATGGTATAATGTTTTTGTTGTTGTTGTTTACAGAGCAAAAATAAAAAGTATATCCATGTACAAATGTAAAAAAGGGCAAAACTAGAAATATGTCCATAGGACATGAATGCCCCGCTGAGGGTATATTAATTTTTATTTGCTTGTTTATTGTTTAACATCCCTCTCGAGAATTTTTCACTCATATGGAGATGCCACCACTTGCCGGTGGAGAGCTGCAAATTTTGACCTATACTCGGCACGAAGGGCCATTAATCAGTGAGGGATCTTTTTATGCCAGCACCTACTGTGACATGTGACCTCGGTTTATACAGTCTCCACGTCCCACAGTTGGATTCGAACCAGCGACATAAGGATCAACTCCTTACTCCGCAACTCTAGAGCTTTAACCACTGCACCATGTGGGCATATTAGTAATGCAACATAAAAATATTTTTAGTGTATGAAATTTGATGAGAATATCTTAAAATAGTTTCTTTAACATTGAAATCGAAAAAGTTGGATATAGATGATAAATTCCCACCAAATTCTGTTAAGTGCATAAGCTCACATAAAATTATATTTAATGGTTTCTTTAAAACTAAGCAAAATGCAAATTTAAGAAAAGTGAGGTCCAGGTCACAGGAAAGTTCAAGGTCATACATTTTTGATGCAGTTGAATAGTTCTCACTAATACGCATAAGCAAAATAAGTTTGATAAAAATATTTTGAATGGAAACCGTTTAATAAACACTGAGCTAATCACCATTTCAAGAAAAATGAAGTCAAGGTCAAATGAAATGTCAAGGTCAAAAATGTTGATACAGTCAAATACCTTACATCAGTCTGTATCAGAATATGAAGTTTGACACTAATTTAGAAAAAGTGAGGTGAAGGTCAAAGGAAAAATCAAGATCAAAAAATGTTGATGCAGTTGAATAGCTCTCATCAGTATGTATCAGCAAATGAAGTTTGATTACGCTATCCTGAATGGTTTCTTTAAAACTGAGCTAAACACTTATTTAAGATAAGTACGGTCAAGGTCAAAGGAAAGGTCAAGGTAAAAAAATGTTGATTCAGTATGTATCAGCATATGAAGTTTGATTACACTATCTTGAATTGTTTCTTTAAAACTGAGCTAAACACTAATTTAAGAAAAGTGAGGTCAAAGTTAAAGGAAAGGTCAAGGTACGTTGATGAAATTGAATACCTCTTATCAATATGTATCAGCATATGAAGATTGATAAAAATATCTTGAATAGTTTCTTTGAAACTTAGTTTTGAACTGAGCTAAAAGCAAAGCGGAATGGAAGGACAGACAGAAGGTTGAAAGGACGGAAGACGGACATAACAAACTCTATATGCCCCAGCCATATTCATGACAGGGCAGAAAAATTTCTAGTGTACTGAAATTCAAAACTGCAGTAATTGATAATTTTTTTTTTAATATAAATTCTACATCAAAAAACATATACAAACTTTTTTGATAATTTATTCTATTCAAAGCAATAAGAAATGCATCTGTCTGCACTGCTTAAAATTGATAAGAAGGTTATGACATAACTAAAATAATGACCATGTCCACATTAAATTTAAAATATAATGAGTGACAATTCACTTCACCTTTTCTTCATTCCATTGACTTTTCTTTCTTTAAAAAATTGTGCTTGTGTACTACTCCATCTCTAAAAAATAACATACAAATGAAAGTTTATGGCACTCAATGAACTCTCTCATCCCTTCCTTTACTGTTCAAGAAAAAAAAAATGCATACATGTACCACAAGCATACTTTAAATATGTGACTAGACTTTATATTTTCATACGTAATGTCACCAACTTTATAAAGAATTGTGAATGCATTTTAAAGGTGAGCACATGTGAATTGAATTAAAAGTACCAGTATTTTGCAATACGTAGTATTGCGAGTATCTCACAATTAACTAACTTACATCCGCTCTTTAATTAGCATGGGAGTCAAGGAAGCTCTAAATCTCACAAGATTTCTGGGGCATAACATTACAGTGGTGACAATGGAATGATTCGAACAATCATTATGCTGAAACTACAATGTATTGCCAAGAGTTGAACTCCAAATAGTAGATTTGTCAAGTAAGGAAAGTTTAGAGTATTTTATCAACTTTCAAAAGTAACGATTTTCATTTAGAATTTAATAAGAAAAGTCTGCTTAGTAAAAAGTATCGTAAAACATAGGTAATCAAAGATTACGAAGCTCACCTCGACGAATGTTATCTACATGTAAGGCAAATTTCACATCATATTTTTTTTCTAGTTAGGGTACATCCCAAGATCAATATCCATGCAAGTTTGGTTTAATTATAGATCTGCTCAAAAAACTTTTGACCTGTTTAGTAATCAAGAAAATTTTGGTCAGTTCCAACATCCAAAGCAAGTCTGGAAGTTTTCATCCTTAGATGCACCATCTATGCAAGTTTAATCATAACAGGCCATAATATTATATAGCTACTCCAAAAAATTACCCTGGTCACTCATCTGGAAAATGTATGTCAGATTCAGAATCCAAGGCAAGTCTGGAAGTATCCATCCCTAGATACATCATCCATGCTAATTTGGTTAAAATATGGCTAAAATTCACTCATGTAGAAAATCTAGGTCAGATCCAGCATTCGAAGCAGGTTGGTTAGTGTACATCCCTAGATGCATCATCCATGAAAGTTTGGTCCAGGTAGGGCTTATAGTTACTTGGGAACGAGACTACTCCTAAATCTAAACCTGGTCTCACATGTGGAAAATCTAGGTCAGATCCAGCATCCGAAGCAAGTGTGGTAGTGTCCATCCCTGGATGCATCATCCATGCAAGTTTGGTCCGGGTAGGGCTTATAGTTACTTTGGAATGGACCTGCTCCTAAAACTTTAACCTGGTCACTCATCCGGAAAATCTAGGTCAGATCCAGCATCCGAAGCAAGTGTGGTAGTGTCCATCCCTAGATGCATCATCCATGCAAGTTTGGTCCGGGTAGGGCTTATAGTTACTTGGGAATGGAGCTGCTCCTAAAACTTTAACCTGGTCACTCATCCGGAAAATCTAGGTCAGATCCAGCATCCGAAGCAAGTGTGGTAGTGTCCATCCCTAGATGCATCATCCATGCAAGTTTGGTCCAGGTAGGGCTTATAGTTACTTGGGAATGGACCTGCTCCTAAAACTTTAACCTGGTACACATCTGGAAAATCTACATCAGATCCAGCATCCGAAGTAAGTGTGGCCATGTCCATCCCTAGATGCATCATCCATGCAAGATTGGTCAAGGTAGGGCTTATAGTTACTTGGGAATGGAGCTGCTCCTAAAACTTTAACCTGTTCACTCATCCGGAAAATCTAGGTCAGATCCAGCATCCGAAGCAAGTGTGGTAGTGTCCATCCCTAGATGCATCATCCATGCAAGTTTGGTCCAGGTAGGGCTTATAGTTACTTGGGAATGGACCTGCTCCTAAAACTTTAACCTGGTCACTCATCTGGAAAATCTAGGTCAGATCCAGCATCCGAAGCAAGTGTGGTAGTGTCCATCCCTAGATGCATCATCCATGCAAGTTTGGTCCAGGTAGGGCTTATAGTTACTTGGGAATGGGACTTGCTCCTAAAACTTTAACCTGGGACGCCGACGCTAACGCCGACGCCGACACCGACGCCGACGCCGGGGGTATAGCATAAGCTCATCTCGACTTCGTTGAGGTGAGCTAAAAATGCAACATACAGGATTAGCTCCTCTCAAAAATTTATTAGGCTGGTTCAGTGCATGTTTAGCAAGATATTTCTCTAGGATATCTTTCTTATCAGTCCTTATAAATTCCACAATGATCGATCATGCATTGCATTCAATAGTACACTGCCCCCATCCAACAGACGTTTCCTACCTCCGTGAAAGAGTTCCGCTAATTTAAGTAATCGTGATATCAAGTATTGTTGTTTATCCTTAAACGTATGTCAATAAAAAAAAATTATTTCAAACAGATCAATGCTTAAGTTTTGAGATTATCACCCTTGGTATGCTTTTTTGTTTTTTTGTATGGACGAGAGATTTGTTTATTGACAGCTGCTTTTTCATTAAAAGTGGAACTCAAAAACTAACTTATCTTGTCATTTGCAAAATTATTTGTAAAAAACACTGATTGTACACACAAGTACTCTGAAGTTGATATTAAAAAGATTCTTGAGTTTCTGATTGACAATATCTATGTGGTTTTTAGAGACAAGGTCTTCCAAAAATCTCTTGGAATTTCCATAGGTACCAATTGTGCTCCGTTATTATCAAACCTATTTTTGTATTCATACAAAGCAGAATTTATTTAAAATCTTATACATGAGAAGAAGAAAATACATGCTGTCGCCTTTAACATTTAGATATATTGACGAAGTACCATATTGTCAGGTGTAAAGGCCGTAGTCTTGTAATAGACACACCCCCAAATTTGGGGGGAAAATCCTGAGAGAAATGCTACCCCAAAAATGCGGATGTATCTCTTATTTTCACAGCACAACTATTCCAAAGAAAAAGTTTAAAAAGTTAAAATATTCATATTATTTCAAAAACAAAAGTAGGATACAACTTCTAATTTTCTTGGAAAATTCAGTTTACATATAAGCTTTATTTATAAGTATTTAAGCATAGTCTGTATTTTAATTATTATTTGATTGGTATAAATTAAAAATTAAGTCCTGTATTTTTTTTCCCTATAACCCTAAGCATTTTACAATATTGTGCTGAAAATGCATTCCAAGCAGGTGTCTGTGTTTACGTAAACAAATCATCCCAAGCGTAATTAATGTCACACTTATGTATACAAGTGATACCAGGTAACTAAAAAGGTGTGTAAAATATTTATCATTAAATAAACTTTACTGATTACAAGTGTATTGTTTAAAATGGCAGTTGTTTCAAAACCAAATGGCCGGAAATTGTTATATAAATAAATATGACCTACATTAGGGTCGAGAGGAGTTAAATTTGGCAGTGATGATATCCAAGTTAGAAAAAGACAAGAAAACATTGATGTAACCATCAATTGTCGCCCGGGAAATTAATAAAGTAAACAATGGAAATGAGTCTTGATCATCAAACCACTTCGATATGTGTGACAAAGGCATGCATCTAAATGATGGAGACGATAGTCGAGAATATTTTGAAAACTTATAGTCGGATGAAATTCGAACAAAAAACGATACCCTTTTAAACTTTATCAATTCCTCAAGTAAATGTTGGCTGCATAAAATATAAATTGAAACCAGACACATGCATCACCTATTTTCAAAAATGTCTTTCACTTTAAGAATATAAAACACGAACTGTGTAAAGTACGTTTTTACGTTTTTATGCGATAAGTAAAATTCGATGTTCTAAAAAAAGGGACCTGTCGTTTTTTCGATAGTAAATGATAAGCAACTTTATGTATTAAATATGAAAAACATATATATTTTATAGATTCACTTTATGGAAGTAAATATATTGTGTATCTCGTAATTTATAAAGGGAAAGAAGATTCTGATAAACAATGTTTTTAATGTTTAGAAAACCTTTAATTCTGAATAACTTCTCCCACCTCAATCCCCATATACCAACACTTAAACTTATATGTATAGAGCAGCCCGGTCCTCCGGGCTGCAATAATTTATTTTAAATATACATATATATATATTTAATTTTGAATAATATTTTAATGGAAATATCTTTTTATATTTCTGTTTGTTGATTTATTTATCAGCGATCTGTCATACGTGACTATCATTCAAGAATTGGGGAATAATATGTAATAAACTTACAATGTGGTAACAGTGAAAATCACTCATAAGAGTTAAGGACATTGGCAAGGTTCCTGGTTATTGTATAGAATTTTTCTAGAACTTTTGAGTAGGTTTAAATGCACTAAACATGCTATATTCTGGATCGTTTTACCTACCAATCCAACATTCTTTTTTAGATTTTGTCAAATTAGTGTTTTTACAATTCTTAATGCATTTCCTATGTAAAATGTTGATAAAAGGGACCTACAAAATTTTTCACCATAATATTTCTTCAAAACTCATTTATTTCATACAGTTTCTGTATTATATACATTATTGTATCTTCATTTCCTATGATTTCTAAATATTTTGGCTGAAAATGTATATATAGAAACAAGACATGGATATACCGGCACCGATCATCATTTTTGAGTTGCGTCCCTTAACAGCTAAAATTGGTCAAGAGACTGGTTGATTGTTTTTATCATGTAATTGACTGAATTGATTGAAACACATTGTCATAAAAATATTGGCATGGATTTATTTTTAACTTTATTCGTAATTACTAAATGCTGATTCCTTCACACGACCTAAGAACTGTTCTCAGTCGGCATGGTCGACCTACCTTTTAGTATATGTGACATCCAGCATACTGAGCATAACAATGGTAAATGACGACCTGTTGGCTCTTTGTCCCTGAATACAATGCACAACAAAACCATTACTACTTTTCTTTCATGTTGTATAGATGATTCTACCCGTTGAAGGAAGTGCACGTGCTTTTGTTTACCTCTGTAAAATACGCTTTATTAGTTTTCACCGCTTAGAGAATTCTACACGGGAGATCACTCTCAATCACTATTTTATAAGGAAAAAACCCATGTATTAAACCTTTTTTCTCCGGAAAACCCTGCCTTGCCAATGTCCTTAAGAAAAAATGTCCAGAAAAAGGGGTTGAATTTAGTTCCTATGTAATGCACGCACCCACACTTTTGAACAATTTTTCTGAAAAAAAAAGTGTGTCCGATACACGTGACTTTACGGTATTAATTATTTCCATTCATATTTCAACACAATTATCCCAATGAGCTTGATAATTTAAAGATACCACAGAGTCCAGGGATCGACATTAACCGTTGTCCGATTGCCCGGGGCAAGTTAATTCCCAGTTAAGGCAAGTGAAAATGCCAATGTACTTGTCCGATTGGGCAAGTGAATATTTCAGATAAAAACTTTTATTTTTTTTTTCATATCTTGCATTAGTTTTAAACAAAACAATAACACTTTCTGCCAAGAACATATCAAAAATAGTTTCTTAAACAAGAATAGTTTGTTTTTTCACTCAGAGAACACCAGTTATTCTCGGCAAACAATGTATTCTGATCAGGATATGTATGTTTCAAAACATAACAACTGTTTTCCTTTAGTGTGGCCTCAGTTTTCCAGAGAAAAAAATCAAAATAATATATATATATTTAAAATATGAATTTTATTTTATAGAAAATATATACTGCTGCATGGCAGTGCAAGTTTTCAGGATAAATGAAAGGACAGTGGTATACATGTACAGAATTTACAATTGTAGGATAACTGACACATCAACATTTTTTCTTGGCAGTTAACTTGCCAATAGAAAGTACTTTATTGCATATAAATTAAATTACCCGTATTTTCTTCTTTCTAAGGTTTGGGCAACCAAGTTTTGCATTTGGACAAGTCAAAATTTGTTGTCCCAAAGGACAAGTGAATATGAAAGTTAAAGTCTATCCCTGGAGTCTGACACATCTGTTTCATATTTTGATAATTTTCTATAAAAAGAGGTTAATACCTAACAACAAACCTTTATGACTAACTTTTCAATCATTAACTTCCCTTACTTATGCAGCAATATACCCTCATCACCTGCATACAGGGTTCATATCTCTCTGTTGATTCGATACGCAAGAGCATGCTCTACATATGAACAATTTCTAAAACAAAGTAAGTTATTGACAAACAAGTTGATGAAACAAGAATATCATCAGTCTTGTTTTAAGTCATCATTACGATAGTTATATGGTCGATACAATGACCTTGATGCTTGTCAGAAAATACAATCTATCATTAAGTCAAGTGCTGATTGACGTTTTAAATCTAATTTCCAGGCCATTATTTACACACTGAATTGCATACAGATTTTTCTAATTTTTCCCGGATCATGACAGGAAGCACACCGTGCGTGTGACTGGTCAGCAGGGGATGGTCACTCCTCCATGGCACCTGATCCCACCTCTGATGTTTTAGAGGTCCGTATTGTTCTGCTCCTGAATTGTATTGTTTGAACGAACTTTTGAGCTTTAATACTGTTTGTTATCTCCATATATTTCATAAACCTGCTAGTAGGACATGTTCAATATACTGGTCTATAACTGTTTATTTGGATGCACTAATCAGCTCAAAATTTAAATAATAAATACCAAAAATATCTGGGAAAAAAAACACACTGGAAAAATCTTATAATAATACGAAGAAAGAAAAATGGATCTCTAATATATAGGCATCTGATCACTGCACGTCAGGATTCTAAATGAAACACCGACTCTTTCCCCTCGTAATAATTTTAAAGATTCCACTATTTTTTTTTTAGAATAAATTTGTACAATCTAGGAAGTGTCTTCTCTCAAAGGGATTGATGATTCATTTGTTTTCAATCATCCTAATTAAAACTAGATTTTATAAAACGAAATATGGAGACAATGAATAGTATTTAAGCTCAAAAGTCCATTCAAATTATGATTTGAGCAGTGCAACCTCTACCTCAAAAACATCCGAGGTGGGATCAGGTGCCTTAGAGGAGTGAGTATCCACTGCCGACTGTCACTCTCACTGCCAGACTCCAGATGATTCTTCATTAAACCTTGGCTGTAACTGTAGGTAACTTCATATGTGTCTCCACCTATCATTAGTGAAACAACTGCCTGTTTACTGCTTAGAGAAAAGTAACACTTAGAAAAGGATAATAAACAAGAATCTGATATACCATGAAAATCCTTAATAGTAGTAAGGAAACACTTAAAACATTACTTTCCAAGAAACATGCATTTAATATTACATGTACATAATTAATTTATAAAATTTTAATTAGGGATGGAAATAAATAATATCCAAACATGAAACAGATGTGTCAGACTCTGTGGTATCTTTTATTTCAAGCTCACTGGGGTATAATATATATAGTTGACATATGAATGGAAATAACTGTTGTTAATTGATAATATATCTCACTGTCGAGTTCAAGACCACAGCAAGTGTTTTCTTCTTCTCATGTATAAGATTTTGAATAAATTCTGCTTCATATGAATATAAAAAGAGGTCTGCTAGCCTAACAACAAGTTGCAATTGGTACCCATGGGAATTCTGAAAGATTATTGGAAGACCTGGTCTCCAAAAACTACATATATATTGTCAATCAGAGACTCAAGCATCCAAAAACCTGTATTACTAAAGTATAGCTCAATATGATCACCAAAATCATCATTGCTTGACATAATATGCATGTATAATCTTTCTTTAATATTAATTACATTTTAAAAGGCCCTAATTAAGCCATCATTTTGACATTTATTTAATCATGATTGTGTATACTTTATCAACAATCTCTGCCACTTTCATGCGGATATGGCTTCTTTTTGTGTTTCTCTTGTTGAAGAGCTACAATCTCCAAACTTGTGTATTGAGTATAATAACTTTCATCCTTCTCATATTGGCCTAGGTGAAAACAGATAATACTACAGGTCACTTACTCAGAAGGATTACTTGATTTTGTTGATCATGTTGATTGATGGTAGTCTGCACAGTAGCGCTAGCAGTTTCTTTTTTACCATTTCACTGTGAAAAAAAAATGTGGAACTTATTAAATATTAAAAATATTTACCACTACATTAGCATTGGTGATATGGTCATTGCTCTTTTTTGTAACAAATCAATTAATTACTGCACCTTTATCATGTTTATATAGTATGAATTATATTGCATGTACTTTCGATCAATCTATTTAAAAAACATCAGATTAATTACCAATAGGTTCTTGAATTTTTAGTTTCTGTTGCATTGGGCTGAAATTACGAGAAAAACTTTATTTTGAACAAGCATTTATATGTACAGTATTGTACTTGCATACTTAAATACCTACTTTAATTAAGATTAAACAAGCATTTTGAGAGTATTGCATTAGCAATACTAGTCCCCTACCGGCAAGTGTAATCTGGTTCCCACTAAAAATTGAATTGCCACAATTCCATTAAAAATCATTGATTAAGAAGCATAACAAAATGCAAACTTGAACTGTAACTCATCAAGATACACTTACATACCAAAACTCAGCTCAATATCTGCAAGCGTTTAGAAAAAAGTGCGGAAAACAAATGGGACAGACTGAAAGAGGGACAGACAGACAGATGGACAGACTCAGAGGAAACCTATAGTTCCCTGGTTTCACCGGTAGGGGACTAATAAAAAAGTGGGAAAAAGCCACCCTGTTAAGCCCTACTTTCGTCTCCCATGGTGAGCAGTGGAAAACGGTCTTATGCTTGGATATGTTGTACATGTACTTTGTATCAATCTGTACCTGCATAATCCATTGGCTAATGAAAGAGGCAATGTATTCGTAATGTAAACTTTTAAATGTAGTGGTAATGTGTACATTTTTTGCAGCGGTAATGAGTATGTAGCAGTAAATAATTACCATTTTGAAAATGTAGCGGTAGTGATATTCACCTGGATAAAGAAATGGTCTATCTATTCCAATCACATTTTTGACAAGATAGGGCACTTCTTATTTGCTGTACATATAATTGTTTTCATTTTCACACTGCTTTTTGGGAAGATTGGGAAAATAAAGACCTTTTAGGAAATTTTGGAATAACCATTATACGTACTTTAAAATCATATATATTGGGTTTCCGGTCTTCGTTATCAACTAAATTTGTTTTATAAAACAGAGGAATATGAATAACAAGTTAAGTTATTACCGGTATATATCCAGCTATATTTTCTTTAATTTTTGGGAGAAATTACTATTGGGAAAATTAACACATTTATTGGGAAAAAAGGCACCTTTTTTTGAATTGGGAGTGGGGCCCTTGAACGGCCCCAATTATAGACAATTGAGAGCCCTGTTTCATATTTGAGAGGTCGATTTATAATCTTCGTTCTTCATTTTTTTTAAGCTTTGGGTGTGTGTTGATTACAACACATATGTTAAGTGACTTATCTTTAAGTTATTGTCAAAGAAATTTCAAGTCTGTTAAAATCTTAATGTTTAAATAACTTGTGCCCTGTACGAAATAAGATTTTGTAGCAAATAATCTTTACAACCGAGCTGCAATTTTCCCCAAGTTATCAGGCTGAAAAAGGGGGTGCATATTTAAACCAATGCATATTATATTCGGCAAGATATGGTAACTGCTTGATTGTCACATTTCAGTTTGAAACATGTTACAAGTTTTATTTCAAAAAATGAAAATATTATTGAAAAAGTAAATACAAATACTCATTGACAAAAACTATTTACTAGGGATGGCAATTTCTAACCGGTTAACTGATTACTCGGTTGGAACGATGGCAATCGGTTAGAAAATCTGCAATCAATTAGTCGTAAAAAAAATTTAATATATGTAAAACTGAAGGCAATGTACTAAAATTCATTTTCAAAATAGAATTTCCTACCTAAACATTTAATTTAGCATTTTCATTTATTTATTTAGGCTGATTGGGAGGTCATTATGGCTCTCCAGATTAAAATTGTGGGGTAATTGGTCAGTCCGAGATATGTTAATTACTGTTAAAACATCATGTCGTTACCCCGACTGTCCTCTAATTCTTTAATGATAATAATCACCGTTGAGCACCATGAATTGGTGTGTGTGTATCTTTTGCAGTTATCTATCACATTAGATTATAATACAAACATTGTAAATTAAGGGGATGAAGGACACATGGTCACATGACTCTTTTTATCTACGTCATAATCTCCGTTTATATAAGTCCAAAACGTGTAAAGCATCAGTTCTTGTATAATTTTTTGACATTTTTTTTTTAACTTAAATTGCCATCTTATATAAAAAAGTAAAAAGTTTTAACATTCATGTAAACATTAACAAATTATGAAAAAGATTGATCCACTCCTCTGTTTCCCTAAACTGCGCGTCCATAAGTCGGTGACGTCATACACGATCTATTAGTACAGCAAGATCATACTCGGTGAATACAGGGGCGGTATTATTATGTAAAATCAGGTCATAATCAGTATGTGATGAAATATTTTGAGAAACGGGGAACATAAAAATTATGATTGCATGGCTGATGACAGAAATCTTATGTAGGCATATCTTATTTCGCTTATTTAGCTTACGTGTGACTTCATAGTTGGTTTTTCCCGTACTCAAGAAATGTAAATATGACATGTTTTGTCATGCTTATGTCCTCTGTAATGATGTCCTGTGCAATATTGAGGTCAGCTTCACCATTCAAAATTTTTAAAGTTAACCAATAATTTGAAGGACTTGCATTTCAACATAAATTTAAAAATATTGAATGATAGAATTTTTTGTAAATTACGTTTTTTTTGTTGCTTAAGTTGTCTCAAAAAGTACGTAATTTTCCCTATCCAGATGCGGTGTGACAGGATAAAATTGCTTTTTCGAATTTTAAACCTATTCATACTCTGAAATATTTTAAGAGATACATGTCCACTTGCATATTTTTTTTATATATGCTTAAAAAATCCCATTATGGACAGAGTATTGGGCCTGGAAACATGAAGAATTAAAACTCCACTTAGATACTGCAGGGCATAGTATTTGTCAATCAATATCTCTAAAATAAGGTCAGAAACCTACTGATATAACTGCTTTAAGATATGTGGGACATACTAAATTAGAAATATACAAAATATGAAAAAAATTGAATGACAACGATTTTTTTGAGCTCAAGGTCCTTCTTCCCCTTAAGTGATACAATTTAGACTTAGTTTTGATTATGGTGATAATGAAGAATGAACTTGTGTGACATCCGCTCATGAAAATTATCCACGATATCTCAGGCATGGTTCATGGTTTTCTGAATTTTTTCTTATCTATTGAAAAAAAATATGCACGTAGTTTTATGATCAAGAAAGACAAATAGAATGATTTTGACCTCTAACAACTTTTTTAAAGACTTCTTGTGCATAGGAATAGAGGTACTTGAAAAAAGTCAAGAAAATGACATTGTGTAGTTTGATACGATTAACCGGTTAATTGGTCGGAACATTTTGCGGTTAACCAATTTGCAATTCTGTATTCGATTGCCAGTGGCTGCAACGTTATTGTTGACAAAAGAATCGTGTAGAATCGTTCGTGTAACATGCGTGATCGTTCGTGTAATGTGCGAGATCGTGCGTGTATCAGACTCAATCGTTTGCGGTTTTAATCGTGCGTGATCGTGCGTTAAGAAACGTGTAAATTTTGTTTTGTAAGTTTTTATTGGAATGTTTTTGTTATACAAGCATTTCACTTGTCTGTTTTTTTTTCAATCCAAATTAAAAAGAAATGAAGCGTGATTTACATAACTGAAAACAGAATGAACTAATTATCGCTTGGAAATAAACAATATAGTAAGTCGTACAATATTGTGTTCTCGTCAAATAGCATGATTTTTTTTCTGATAAACCGTACTTAGATGTTTGATTTTTTTCTCTGATGTTAATTATATTTATTGCTAATTATGGTCAAGATATTTTTAAAATCAATAGATCAAAAATAAACATTTTTACAAATGAATAATTCTCAATGCTTACATAAGTATTTAGTCGGTGAATGTACATTTACACGACATGATTCTCGGGGTTTCGTTTATCAGTGTTATCTCTGGAGGTTACTTTTGATTATTTTTTTTAATTTCTGCAAATAAATGATTTGTAAAATAATTGTTGATTTTAGAGATTCACAAATTGAAATGTGGATATAACTTATAATTTAATTCATTTTCATGCCATTTTTTTCAAACTTATCCCTTTCTGCATATTATGAAATCCAATTCAATCAAAACTCACGGTCCACCTACATGTACATCTTCTGATAGAACGAGAAAAAAACAATCAGTTTTCTAAAGTCAGAGAATTACATAAATAATTTTTTGTAATCTAAAATAATTCATAAATCTTACATGTATTTAGTTCCAGAAATATCCATTTCTATTTTTTTTTTTTCATTTTTCAAAGTCGATGAAATAAAATCAATCATTATTTGAAATCTAAGATAAGTATTAAGCCTTATTTCTTTTTGAAAATATCCATTCCTAAAGAATTTGAACTATTTTGCGTTAAGAATCGTGCGTTTCCGTTAGCAATCGTGTAAGATTGTGTAACGTGTAGAATCGTGTGTGTGAAGGATCGTTCGTGTAACAGATTTTATTGTGTGTGAATCGTGCGGAATCGTTCGTCTAACGTGATCGTTCGTGTAAGTTGTCAACAATAACGTTGCAGCTACTGTATCTACTAAGTGGTTAGTATGTAAATTGTAACTGGTTACAAAACTGGTTATGAAAATTTTAACTGGTTATGATCTTTCTTAATAGTTAATAAACCAGTTAATCATTGCCATCCTTATTCCAAAGATACTTTGTGACAAGTTTGGTTTAAACTTGTCCAGTAGTTCTTGAGAAGAAGTTGAAAAATGTGAAAAGTTTATGCATGACCCAAGCCCTTGCTTATGCAAAAACATCCAAAAACAGATAAAAATATGTTACCATGGTTACCTAGGTAATTCAGTTAACTTATATCAAACCACACATTGTCATATAAATAAGACAAAGACTAAGTGCTTTTCAAGGGTCCAGATCAGCATTCAGTCAGTATCAAAGTATCATGGTCTTTAGAGTTTTGTATATGCCTTTTGTCTTCAATGGTAACCTGTACTTATACATGTACTTAAATATGGCCATTGAGGAGACCACTTATAATTAGGCATAAAGTAGACCAGTGAGAAAAATTGAGTAAATTGAATTAACCCTTGATATCAAGTATATACAGTATATAAATATACCATTCTAATGATCTTATTCACTATATGCATCAATACCCTGTATTATATTATACTGCATATCAAATTAAAACTTATTTATTGTGTCACAACTGAAGTGTTGCTGGACTGAAAGACATAAAGATGGACAATATGTGAATCCTATAGAGCTTTATCATTTCATGCAGGCCCTAATTAACATTCAATCAGTGATAAAGTACCTTGCACTTAGATTTTTATATTTACCTTTGTCTGCTATAGCAACCTGTACTTATACATATGATATACTTAAATATGGCCATTGAGGAGACCACTTATAATTGGGCATAAAGTAGACCACTGAGAAAAATTGTTGATATCAAGTATATACAGTATATAAATACACCATTCTAATGATCTCATTTACTGTATGCATCAATACCCTGTATAGTATTACACTGCATAAACTAAAACTTGTTTATTGTGTCACAACTGAAGTGTTAATTGCTGGCTGAAAGACATATAAAGATGGACAATGTGAATCCTATATAGCTTTAACACTTCATGCAGGCCCTAATTAACATTCAATCAGTGATAAAGAACCTTGCACTTTAGATTTTTTATATTTACCTTTTGTCTGCTATAGCAACCTAGTTCTTATACTTAAATATGGCAATTATGGAAACTGCTGATAATTGGGCATAAAGTAAACCACATAGAAAAAATTAATATACTTAATGGGAAAATTTTACTGTACTCACTGTTAACAGCAAGTACATTTATATGCATGTATTATAGATATATACAGTGGTGCCTTGTTTATCCGGACGCCTCTTTGGCTTAAGTTTGTTAAAAATAATATTGATTAATTTTGAACTGTTTCTTATTTGGGCTAGTAATTTTTTCCTAATCAGTAGCCCCTGGGCGAGTGGGATTTCCAGGAAAATTTCAACCCCTGAAGATAAGTATGAAAAAGTCATTTCTTGAAAAATTACCATCCGGATAAACGAGTCATTTTTCAATGAACTATTACGTTTTGTAGTAGAAATCGACCGTTCGGATGTGGAACATGAATTTCTGGATTAATGAGACAGAATGACATGGAAAAAAATCTATTCCCGAAAAATAGCATCTGGAAGGTGAAGTGTTCGGATAAACATGGCGCCACTGTATATACCATAAATGACTATGACCTATGGTACATATAGTCAGAGAAAAACAATCAATTAAAGCTGACCACATCTCATAAATAGGCATACACCATATTCGATTATATATCATCTACTATATCAGCACCAGGGTATACTCTTCGCATTTGTTACACCTGACTGCTTTATTGTCACAGGTATCGGAGTGGAATGGTGACACATGCTCATGCTGGTTATCTTGCATTGCCTTTGTTTATTTATTTTATTGCAGTTACGTGTACTTGTGTAGTTTGTATACTGCACTGACCTGTGCGACTATTGTAAGTTTCATTGGCATCTTTCTCTCCTGCCGTGAAAGAAGTACACAGTAATTTTTTGTTGCTACCCAGAGCTATGTAGCATACGTCAGTCTGTCTATACAGACAGGTGACAACAGATTACACTGAACAGTGACTAAGTGAGTGGCTTATATAGGGACCCTACAATATAGCGTGAATAAAGGAATATGGCGGAAAAATTCCTTTTACACAGTGTGTTCAGATTTAAAATCACTAACTTTAAAGCAAACTAATGGATTACATACCTTTTCCCATAATTCACTTCAAATTCCTACTCATCATGTACGGCTACTTCAGAATCTCACATGTATACATTCTTTGACTTTTCTATAGGAACATTATTTCCTACAATGTACAATCACATTTTAAAACATTCAAATATTACTTCCAATTGGACATAATTGGTAGTTCACAAGCGAGAAAGCTCACTCAGTAGTTGGATTGATTGTTTAATTGTATGTCGTTTTACATCCTGTTTAAGAATTTTTCACTAAAATAGAGATGTCACCATATAATGGTCAATAATCTTTTTAACAGTTTTTTTCTAAAGAGATTTCAGGCTGTCTTTACTGCAATTGTCAGTCTACATTACCACCCATTGTGGTATACTGATCCCGATTTGTTTTCATAGGATTTAAGTTTTAGTTTGTGTGATAACTGGATATCAAAAAGTTTCAAAGTAGAGTGTCATGAGCTCATCAATGCTAATTATCAAAACACTACTTCTAGAAAATCAAAACATTTAAGTTAAATTAACCATTCAAAATATTTTTTGAAAAGTAAAACAAAGGTCAAAGTCAAGTGAACTATAATGCTGGTATTTTTCATTATAATTTATGATAAATTGTGCACATGCTATTAATAGCATAGACTTACCTCTTTTAAATTATCAAAAATATGCTGAATATTGGCACTTTAAACTTTTTTATAAGTAGGTCAAAGGTAAGTTCAAGGGTCACAAGATTGGCAACCATGGTATTTAAAAAAAGTCAGAGTGCCAAGCAAAATATTAACCAAATATCAAAAACAATAAAACCTCTTACAATTCTTGAGATATAAGGTGTGACAGATGGACAGACAGACAGATGCCAGGTAAATTGATCCCTAGGTGTTGCACTGCTGTGCAGTCGACTCACAAAAAATGTTCTTCAGACTTATTTATCATTGGAATGACTAGTAAACACCAAACTGAACTTAACCTGCTTAAGTGAGCCAGTAGTGCCCAGTACAGAGCAACAAGTGCTGTGAACAGCGAGTGAAGTGTGACCGATTGATTGAGTGTTGTTTTATGTCCATTCGAGAATTATTTCACTCATAAAGAGTGAAGGGTTAAATAACTACAATAAAATGTAAGGAGGCAAGTCTGCCTCACCATAACCTGGTTCTTTGTGGCCCTATTTTTAACCTTCATACCCATCTCCACTGGGAATTCATTTCCTCCTCCCCCAACAATCACTTCATGACTCCATAAGCAGCCAAAGGCTGTAATGGGCAACTAGTTCATTAACAGCTAGGGCTATCAGGAATTCAAAGTCACTGAAGTTCTTTTGGTTTTTATGATACTATCAAACTATCAGTCTATCACTGAGTATCTGCATGCTTTAAAAGTTAGTATTTACCCCTGATTTGCTTTAATTAAAGCTTTTGTGTCTATTTTCTGCTAACAATTTATTTACAGTTTATAACTAATAAAGCAGCAAATATACCTTACCCCATGTTGCAGATTCTCTTCATCCAAGTAATTGATGTACATTGTACTTAATCTCTTCATTTGTTCATCTGGATCCTTTCACTGCATTCATACAGTACCAGTAACTGTTATATATGGATATATTTCTTTGTCAAAGCTGTCACTTTTTAGGCACAATTGCTAAGTTTGCATCTTTATCAGCATTATTTATTAATGAAATGACAAATTCCATCAGACACACCTGCAAAAATGAAAACAAAATCTATTAATTTACATATAATCATGTCCATATTCTCTTGACTTCATTATTATATAATTGAACTGTTTTATACTGCACTGCAAATATAAAGGGCTGGGATAATACACTTTCGTCTACTATTCTATATCTAATATACTATATTAGGTATCACAATATTTATGCTACAATACAGATCACAATATCTTTAATCAGTTATAATTTTTTCATTTTATATTAAAATGAGACAAAGTTTGACACCAGTCATATCCAAAGTCTCTAAAAATTTACAATTTTAGTCATGTATATGTGTTATGCAAGGGTGTATCTGTCAGTATTTCCAAAATTTATCAAGCATGACATTTAAATTGATACAAATATTTTGATTTCAGCTTTTCTTTTTCATGAAGTTCGACTTAAATATTCTTTGATAATTTTAAAATCAAAATAAAATCAAAAACTTTTAATTTCTTCATTTTATTTGCTTGGAAAATAATTATTTTTTTCTTTTGTATTTGTACGAGTATTTAGTTGAAACTAGTTCTACATGTATATTAGCTAATCAGTGAAAATCTGTATGTTTGATTTACATGCCTGTGTGTGCATTATATTACAAATCATGGGATCTGTGCTTGTAGGTGCACTCAATGTTTTAAAGTTATTCATAATTTGAGAATTATTGTCTCTTTTTTTTATTGTCAGTATATTTAAACCAATATTTTTTGGTTTTACAAAATAATTTGAATTTATATTTTCTTTTTTAAAAGAGATGATGCAAATTATAATTTCAATTTTAATTTTGTTTATATATTGTTGCTGTGATCTCAATAACCTAGATTAGAATGTTCTAATCATTAAAATGATATTGTCCTACGTTCCGTGTATTGGCAATTTATCAAAATAAGCAAGTTCAATAACTCGAACTGACTGCATTTTCTATGAACAATCCAGAGAGTTCCGAATTCAACATGGCGTGTAAAGGACAAGATAGGCTAAGACCCCTTTTTGGCCCCTGGTTTGGGGTGTTGTTTAGAATGATACAACAGTTTATCAATAGAAACCTGTTGTCACCCCTGCCAGAAAATGAGTATTGGTTCTAAGTTGATACATACAGGTCACAGGAAGATCAGAAAATATGTCAATTTCCGAATTTTCTCATTTTATGCAAATGTTCATCGATTTTACAGCACATTTTGTTTCAGAAAACATAGAGCACAAGCTTGCCTATCTACCAAATTTATATATTTCATATATATATTATTATAACAGTAACTTGATCCAAAGAGTCGTATCACGTCGAGTTGACAGGCGCGGATCATCAGATCAAACGAGACGCGAAGTGTCGAGTTTGATCTGATGATCCGCGCCTGTCAACGAGACGTGATACGGCTCTTCGGATCCAGTTACTGTTATAATGATAAATTTATTATATACCCCCTTACAACTAACAAGATATAGTTTTAAAAACTTCTGAGATTAATTTTTTAATATTTTTCCATTAAACAAAGCATTCTGTCAAGGGACTTTTTGATGCGCAAGAAAAATAACGTCATGTTTCTGTGTACTACGTCATCAATTTCAGAGAGGGCTGATATGGATTCAGAAAACCACAGTGTGGTGATCCGGAAAGTCGGATCACACCGTCATGTGATTGTGCAAAATCTACAGTAAAATCGAGTGATACACTGTTGGGTATATAATAAATACTAGTATCAGATGCATCTTATGTATAACAAGAATAGATATGGGTTACCCCATATCCAAGATATTCGACTTTTAATTTATTCGAATTTTCATTGTGCTCAGATGATTTCTAATTTTAAAAAAAGCTATTTACTGATAAAACGTCAGAGATACTCAAACTGTAGAAAGTCAACTATACAATGGCCATAAATAATCTAAAATGACATAATATTTAGGCTACTGAGTTTCAACATCTTTTGTTGAATAAAATATGCATGTACTAAGGAAACTGCATGTACATACATGTATATAACGTTACATGCGATTAGTGACTTTTATTATCACAACGTTGCAGATGCCTATAGAAATAGTTTTAATTTCACATAGAACATAGAGTAAATATAATTAACCGTATAATTTTAAAGATGTATTTAACAGCTCACTCATTTTCAGGAATATTTAATCCAAATAGCATGTTACAGGCCTGTAGCAACGTTTTCAAAGTGAAGGGGGGGGGGCTCCGAAAAAATCCCGCGTACTATTGGCCTGTGCTACATGTGTACCATCTAACTTTCCAATGATAGAATCTTCTGTAAAAATTCGAAACAAGTCCAAGCAAAGATTAAAGATAGCCCAATTTCTTAAATAGCAAAACTATAGATCTATCAAGGGTAGATTTTAATTTATTATTTAATTTTGTGCTAAAAAAGTACTATCACTCAAAGTATAGGCAGATGTTAAAGATGGGTCAACAAGAGTAATCAATGAACTCGTCTAGAGATGCATTGACGGCCGTTGTTAAACGCAAAGGAAAGTGCAAGATCGGTTGCGGCTGTGGAGCATCACTCCTTCGTCATAGAATAAAATCCGACATTTAACACTTTATATAGATTTTGAATATAGAGACGTTTTGAAGATAAACTTCATTTTTGTTTCTAGAAATGTTTTTATTTACAAAAATAGTATATTTTCGTGTTTTTAAACTGAGTAGATCAATGACTTAGCATCGTTTTAGGTAACTCAGCCCCTCTAGCCCAGTCTAGGGCTTGAGTAAAAAACCTGCACTTGTTATGAAACTGGTGTATAGTTCTTCTTCATGTCCGTAGCAAATACTGATACCCACTCTACATGATCTAAGCGTCACTAGTGAACGGTGCACATACCTGTGCTTGCAAGACCAAATAGACTAGGTTTACACACGTGCGAAGATCCTTTCAGACGGGCTTGACAAATCACGGCAAATCACGTTGCTTTGCCGAGAAGTTACGATTGCAGGTATTTAACCACATAATAACCATTCCATTATTTAAAAAAAGAGAAAAAAAACACACACACACACAGTTAATGATTAATATTCTCACTCAAAAGAAAATATACAGCAATTAACGAACAATAATCATGATAGTTATATAATTGGTGAAAAGATTTATCACTATCAATTGAAGGATGACCTATATATTTTCGTGAAAAAGACTGAGGAAGCAGCGAGCGTAGGAATATGAAAACTTTTTATTTCCTTTTCTGGGGAAAAATGATTTTCTTAAAATCTTTTTACGTTAATTTTGTTTTCTTTAACGTATTAAATATACATCATTATTCTTAACATTTGTTGTAATGTTGTATCTACTGATCATGAATGGAACTATTTTCTTCGGAGCAATTGTGTGAAGAGTACCTGACTTTAGTAATATATCTTGAATAGATAATATGCACTGATCGAATATATTAAAAATCTCAGATAGGCAAGCTTGTGCTCTATGTTTCCCGAAGTGAAAAGTATATCAAATTTGAGGATATTCCAATAGAATTGAGAAAATTCAGGAAATTGTCCTACTTCTGCACCCTCTTCTGGTCTCCGTGTAAGCTTTGAATCAAAATTAGTGCTGGTTTTAAAACAAGCATCATTTTTAGTTCTTAACTACAAACTATCACTATTTTAACTATGTTCTGATTTTTACATCAAATAAGGGGCCAGATTCTGCCGTTACCATACCTTGTCCTTTGAAGTGAGGAAAAAAGGTTGAGAAAATGAGTTGAATTTTCTTATTTCTATGGATTATTTTTTAGGTTAAAAGGCATATAAAATCTCAAAAAGGTTTGTTATGATTAATTTGATAGTTATTTTCAGTGCAATTTTTTTTGTATTCTTCAAAATCATTTCTGAGCGGATCCTTTCCAATATGCTACATTGCTAGTATATGGGACATATTCTAACTGTGGTGATCGAGGGCTTGTTCCGAGACAAAGTTAGATTGTTCTAACTAGAAATAACCCAACACATATATCTTGTAAGTCAAACACATGTATTTCGCAAATTCAATAAATAATTCCAAAAAAAAGAAGAAATCTTGTAAAAAGGTATTCCATAGAGAAAATTACCCAGAAAACGTTGTAGCATAACAAACACTGACATATACTCGAACAAAACTTAAGTTAAGTATGAAAAATAATCAGATAATGGGTCAAAATCACACCAGTGACCACCTACCCTAATCAACTGTTATCCACAAAAAAACTAGAAATATGTCCATAGGACATGAATGCCCCGCCAAGGGTATATTAGTAATGCAACATTTTAACACAAATTGAGAAAAGTGAGGTCAAGGTCAAAGGAAAGGTCAAGGTAAAAAAATATTGCTGCAGTTGAATAGCTTACATCAGTATGTATCAGCATATGACGTTTGATTCAGAAACTAATTTAAGAAAAGTGAGGTCAAGATCAAAGGAAAGGTCAAGATCAAAAAATGTTGATGCAGTTGAAAAGGTTACATCAGTATGTATTAGCATATGAAGTTTGATGAAAATATTATGAATGGTTTCTTTAAAACTGAGCTAAACACTAATTTAAGAAAAGTGAGGTCAAGGTCAAAGGAAAGGTCAAGGTCAAAAAATATTGATGCAGTTGAATAGCTCTCATCAGTATGTATCAGCATATGAAGTTTGACACTAATTTAAGAAAAGAGAGGTCAAGGTCAAAGGAAAGGTCAAGGTCAAAAAATGTTGATGCAGTTGAAAAGGTTACATCAGTATGTATTAGCATATGAAGTTTGATGAAAATATTATGAATGGTTTCTTTAAAACTGAGCTAAACACTAATTTAAGAAAAGTGAGGTCAAGGTCAAAGGAAAGGTCAAGGTCAAAAAATATTGATGCAGTTGAATAGCTCTCATCAGTATGTATCAGCATATGAAGTTTGACACTAATTTAAGAAAAGTGAGGTCAAGGTCAAGGGAAAGGTCAAGGTCAAAAAATGTTGATGCAGTTGAATAGCTCTCATCAGTATGTATCAGCATATGAAGTTTGTTAAAAATATCTTGAATGGTTTCATTAAAACAGAGCTAAACATTAATTTAAGAAAAGTGAGGTCAAGGTCAAAATAAAGGTCAAGGTCAAAAAAATGTTGATGCAATTGAATAGCTTACATCAGTATGTATCAACATATGAAGTTTGATTACACTATCTTGAATGGTATCTTTAAAACTGAGCTAAACACTAATTTAAGAAAAGTGAGGTCAAGGTCAAAGGAAAGGTCAAGGTCAAAAAATGTTGATGCAGTTGCATAGCCCTCATCAATATCTATCAGCATATGAAGTTTGATAAAAATATCTTGGATAGTTTCTTTGAAACTGAGCTTTGAACAGAGCTAAACGCAAAGTGTGACGGAAGGACAGACGGAAGGACAGAAGGACGGAAGGACGGAAGGACGGAAGACGGACATGACAAACACTATATGCCCCGGCCATATTCATGGCGGGGCATAAAAATTATATACTTATATGTCAATCTACTTCCAAAATTACATGTTTTCCAAGATCTTACAAAATTATTTTTACAGTATGTCTCTTCAAATATTTGTTTTCCTGCTTAATAGTACTGATCATGCTGATCAGATGATAATGGGTGGGTGATATTAAGACAGTATGTCCTCATAAACTTTTAGTCCCAGACCTATGAACCAGTTTTTCATTTTGAAAATGGTTATCATGGGTCCAAAGGACCCCCCTTAATGACAACAATGAGTCCCATGACAAAATCAGAGCATCCAAATCCAAGGGTCATATATTAGATATTACAGAGGAAATTCTGGTGAAATATAAAAAGTTATTTCATGAAAGAGCAAATGCTTTATTGTTGCTGTGAGTAGTTTTATAATTTTACTATCAATTGTCCAAGTAAGAGTACATGATTTTGTGTCATAAATATAATATATTGTCAACTGTGCACTTTGGTTCTATTTTTAGATCGTACATACGATCTCACACATTGTAATGTATCAGTCATAAAATGCACAGAAGCAGAATGAAGCAAAGAAATTTTAAGAAGAAATGAAAAAACAGTCAGAAATAAAAATGATTAAATTTTAAACTTCTTAGCTTGTAAGGAAAAAAAAAATGATACAGGTTACATGTATAGCTTTTACAAAGGTATAGTAATCGCTTCAGAAATGTTCCACAGTATAGACATAATCAGTGATAATCGAACTATGTTATCTAACTTTCAAATATTTTCTGATAATTGCTGGTTAATTGGCTGCAATTGTGAAATCTGACCTGTTGTTGGCAACCTTATATATACCTGTTAAAATTGTTCATGCATATCGCTTAGCACATGGATATGATGCAATCGGTCAAGTTTAAAATCGGATTATACCAAATAATACACGTTCTTCTATAAATTTATTGCGTCCATTGGGATGCACATTTATTAAAATAATGCGTCCTGAGCAAAATTTGTGCATAATTTACGCAGGATGCACACCAAAATGAATCATTGATGAACACCATATTTTTTTAGCGCAACATACAAAGAACTATGTAGCAACCTATGATCTACAGCACATGTAATTTTCATAATGCTAGCTCACATCATAAGGAATACATGTATGACTAGCTGCTTGCATGGCGCAGTGGTTTAAGTGTTTGCTTTAGAGTCACAGATAAAGGAGTTGATCCTAACATCACAGGTTCGAATCCCACTGCAGGATGTGGAGACCAGTGTTCAAATGAAACTGAGGTCCCATGTTGTAGTAGGTGCTGGCATGAACAAAATTACTCATTGCTCAAGGGTACTGAGTACAGAGGTTCTCAAGTGCTGGCTTTTCAATATGAGTGAAAAGTTATCGAAAGAAACATTATAGAAACAAATAAATATGACTATAAATAATTATCTTTTCTTACCATTATGGATGTTGTACATGTCCCTTTCGATAATGAAAAAAATCTTTTTCTGTCAACTTCTCATTTTCTCGCGCGATTTTTTCTTGCTAATCTTCTCTCCAACATACCGGAGAAGGTATTCTCGCATGTTATGTGGTACCGAACACACTATAATAAAAATAAATGCATAAATGCAAACAAGTCAACAAAATCTAATTTATTCAGAGACTTGGTTTAAAATGTCTCAGACTGTCATAAATCTCACCCTAGGCAGTTAAAAATTTCCTCAGAAATCTTGTCAGAATTTTAAAAATATAATTTCAAAAAAAAATTCATGGGAAAATATACGGCATATATATAGCCATTGTACAAAATGCAGGAATTAAACTTTCCTGGAAAGTTTAGAAATTGAAACTGTAAAAATATTATCATACCATCAAACGACAAACCATGTCCATGCTGATCAAAAGACTCAACAATGTATTAACTAACCCGATCAAAATTAAACTGAACCCGACCGAAAGTTTCTAATCTACATATGTAGATATACAAGTAATATATGTCGACTCTGCATAACAATTTTATTAAAATAAAAAAATTATTGCTTGTTATATGGTTTTATAACTAAATTGAGAGTATAAGCAAGTTAATTTCTCCATGGCAACTGCATAAGATAAACAGTATTTTTTTTCATTATATGTTAAAAAAAAATGCTTAAATTGATCAGGATCTGTTTCATATGAATCAGGACTTGTTCAAGCTTGACAATGACAACAAGCAATTTTTCTTAGGGTCTCTTTTATTATTTAATTTCAACTTCTTTCTGAAATTATGATTATCTTCTAATATTTCTTTTCAAAATGAAACACTTAATAGGTTTATAAATAAATGAAACATTAAAAAAAAAATCAATAAATACAGGCCCGTAAGAAGCAATTTCAGTTTGGGGGAGGGGGGACAGCCATGCATTTTCTTTGGGGGGCACTAACAACCAAAAATTCCTTGACAAGCTTAAAAAAAAAAGGTCATCAGGCGTTTTTATTGAGGGGGCACAAGCATATAGTAGCTATGTTTTCTTTAGTATTCTATATTTCGGCAAAATTATTGGGAGCACCCCCCCCCCCCCCCCCGTTCCTACGGCCATGAAATAAAGTTTTACATGATTGTTAAGTAATAAAGACAATGCAATAAATTCTGCAAAGTAATTCAAATAGTTGAGGTATAATTCTTACTTATGTGTAGACTGATTTACTAGTACTTTCATGATTATAAATATATTCTCCCATAAAATTAGAATAAATTCATGATAAAGGAAATAATTTACCCTGAACATGTTGAGCATGCAATACATTTTTGAGTCATTTAAGTTGTTAAAGACAAAATTCTCATTTGCCCAATTAAATTTGAGATACATGTACTAATTAAGTGACCTGTAAAGGTACTTGTAGATCTCTAATAAAATCTGAGAAATTAAATCCGCAGTGCTGTAGATCGAAACTCTTTAACGGTGGTGATGTTAACTGAGTCTACTGTTATAGAAAAAATATTGCAAGAATTATACAGTATATCTTTTGTTACTCAATCATGGAATGTGTAATACATATAACTATTAACTGATATGCTCATCTCTGATATAACCTGTTATAATTAATCCTCCATTCATGCCAAAACACTGCATGAAAATTTGGCTTTACAAAACAAGTAAAGATAATGTAAATTTATTATTTACAATGCCTTTAATTGGCTTTTCTGAAAAAAGTCAAAGTTGGAAAAGGTAACCTTTACATTAACTTTACATGCACTTAAATATGATGTAATGTCCCACATTGTCTTGACTTTACAAAAAAGTAAAGTTAATATTTACAAACATTAAACACAGTATTTGGGGTACATTAAATCTGATAATTACAAATATTAAATTTAATTAAATAACATCTTTAATAGCCACAAAAGTTAATTACTGTTTTCCATTCTTTTGAATAAAGCTTGTGCATATGATAAATAAGCTTTTCCTTCAAAATTGAAACTGCAAAAGAAGTCTGGACATCATACTTAATATACAAAGTAACAACAGATTGACTTAAACTTTGTTTATTACTATATTAAACATTTTTATACAAACATATAATCAACAACATCAAATTTCTTGACAGTATCTGTTGTACATAGTCTATCCTGCAAATCCCATACACATAGATAAGTATCCAGGACAGAGTACATTGCAATAAAAATCCATTTCAAACATGTCATTTTGTTTTATAAAGAACCAATTGTTCATCCTTGAATTTAAAGATTTGAATTGACATGAAACTGTGCTCCACTTTTTTGTTACTCGACATGCGTTTCTGTGGAAATCAACAACTGTCCAAACATATTCCTTTTCAGAGTCCAAAACTTTTATTCTGATGCAGGCAGTCTTCTACTGTTTTCCTTAAAAGAAAAAAAATATATATATATTTTCAGTGACATGAATATTTTCATAGGCATCTGTGTTATAAATTCTAATAAACTGTGATATCAGTATTCACAGTATCATGACTAATGAAAATTGAATCGAGATGCAACCATATTAATACATGTAGATAAAAATTTCATACATGACCTTTAACCTCAAAAAGAAAATATTTTGAACCATTAATGTCAGCCTTTATTTTTACCAAAAAGACTATGTTAATCTTATTAAATAAGACAGATACAAACTGATGAACATGTTGCTATTAACTTATTTTATGATATAAATGGACTGGGCCACTAGCCCTTATCTTACCCCTAAGATTAAAATTTAATAACTCTGTAATTTCTTTGTTTATCATTACCTAATTTTTCTTTTGAAAGGATTATTTACAAAATATACTAATGTAGGAGTAAAAATAAGATTTCTCGTGACCTTCTGTAGATAAGATACTTTTGCAGAATTGAGAAAATGTTTGTCTTACTTGCAAGATAATTTGTGAAAAAGAACTGGCATCAGTATCTATGAATAATTACTGAACACATATAATTAACTCCATTTTCCTTCTTAGTCATCAGGTAACAAAAAGACCAATAGTTGCTGCTTATAGAGCTATAGTATGATATTCAAGTTATGGTTTAGGATATATGTACCTTTCTCCCAGTAGCATGTTGCTGCTCATGAATTATTTCCTGATCTTGGAATTGTAAAAGTTGACAGGTCCCTCATTTTGAAGATAACATGCTAAAATGGAATTTATACTTTGATAAACATTTCATACATCCGGATAAATATAGCCAATGTTTTCATAAATACTTTGGAGTTTGAAGCATAACAAAGAATGATTTTAAAAATACACAATGCAATCACAGTCAATACTTATGAATTGCCGAACACCCTTATGTTTGTTTTCTTCACAATTAAAGAATACTTTAGGTCTAAGCAACACTTGCCATCTATAAAATTAAACTCTTGAACTCTTCTCAAGTGTTTCTTCTTCATGAAAGATATGTCAATAAGATGTTAACTCTCACAGTAAGCTGAGTAGCTGGAGCCTGGAAAAAGTAATAACACATTCTTTGAAAACAGAAATGTATAATTATACTGACTCCCGAAAAAGCCAAGCAATTGATAATTTAAATAATTGTTTAAGTAACATTTTTATGATATTATTTATTGATTTTTTTAAAAACTAATATGTACAAGTACCGTCAAAAAACATTGGGATCCCTTGGTCTGGTAAATCATACATTGTTGTCATCCATGACTTTCTTCAAGAACCTGCATAACTGATTTCACTGTACCTGTTTTTGAAAATGGACATGGTTTAGAATACAAAATAATATCTATAAAATATAACCTAACTTGTCCTCTATTAAAAACATTGCCATACCCTGGCTTCTACATTTTTTTTCCTAGCACTAATGTAAACAGCTAAACATTCTGAAATTGTGACCTAGAATTGTTTTCCTTGGTCTTGTTTAATCCATGATCATTTACAGAAGAAAAAAAAAATGGAACATTATCCCCAATTTATCAAGTTACTTATCCAAAAACACATATTTAGCGTAGTTTTTCCTGACTTTCATCAGTTTCAATGTTTCACAATGTATGCTGAAAACAGATGGAAAACGTAAACAAACCTGCAGTGCATGCCAGCCCGGGAGCTCGAACAGTTTTCCAAGCAATAACCTCCTTAAATCTTCTGGTAGATGAAAAGGTATCAATTCAACTGATCACTGGTTGCATATTTTCGTCGAAAATACCGATGAGACCCGCTTAACTTGATTTGAAATGATTGGCTATTCATTGGAATACACAGTGCCATATTTGGGTTACTGTTAAAAGTAGATCGTTCGTTTTGTATTCGAGAAGACTTGGATGAAGAGGATTACACAATACTGAGGTGGAAAACATCCGTATATATGATAAAATATATTTCAGTATTTTAAAGTAAAGGTTGTCAAATGAACGGGACATATTACTGATAATACCTCTTATAAACAAAACTAATAAGCGTAGGACTTATTCAGGGCATTTGCAATGTATGGGAACCAGTCTACGAGGCAACAAAAATTCCGCCAAGAATAAACAAAGAGATTGCGAGATGTTGTTTACGTGTGTCACACGACACTGACTGCAAGGTAATGAAAATGTGCTTATTTTTTGTGTATAACTGTTTTCTGTCTTTCAAGATAATGAACAACAGTCGTTTAACATTTAGACGAAACATCTGGGGGAGAGAGGGAAGAAGAGGGGTCACCTCTCAAGTTGTTGCATCTACTATATAGTGGTGGTATCAGTGTCAGGATATAATAAATTAAAATGGAAAAATCATAATAAAAATTTTGTTATAGATTTAGGAAAGCTAAATAAAGGGGCGACTATTTTTTGTTTGATGGGGGGGGGGGGATTAAAATATATTAACCTCAAAAATGTTTAAAAGATATAATCTCATCTCAACTGAAAAAAATGATTAATAATCTTTCCTTGTCTGATGCCATTATTCCCTTTACCTCACTGAAATGAGAGTTTCTGAGTCAGTTTATTTTTTCCTTTTTGTAGTGGTGATGGGGGGGGGGGGGTGTCAAACTTTGTTCATTTAAGATAAACATGAATAATCTGTCCCTCATTATTAAGGAAATCAAATATTCTGTTCATCACTGACTGGAAAATAATTAATCCGACTTAGCTGTCAAACAATTACCTTTTCATAATTTATCTTTTGTAGAAACAAAGAGTGGAGAGCTAATGCATGGTGCTAAGTATGGAAAGGTCTCTTGTGGTTTGGTTGTGCCAGAGACAAATGTGCATTATTTCCATGTTGGGTAATGTCCTTAAGAATGGAATTTTTTTTCAAATACAAGGGACATGACTTTTTCATACATTATCACTGTCCAGGGATCAAAATATTTTTAAACATTGTTAGATACTCACTACATTATTTCATCTTCAGAAAAGTATTTAACTTATTTTCTCACATTTTTTAAAGAGACCAGTGTGGTGAAGAGATTTTTTTAAATTTTAGTCTTGAATTTTGATATTATACAGGTCAGAAGTCTCGGTACACTTTAGGTGAGTGGCAGTTGGGTAGTTGGATGACCTTCAGATAGTTTGAGATGAAGAAGTTCTTTTAAATGATTGAAAGTGATCATCATAGAATCAACTCCATTATGAAGATAAATTATGAGAGTCAGGTGAGGAATTGACTTCAATGTGTTATAACATTGTGTAAATGAATCTTCATTATTAAGATCTTTTACATTTTATTTTTGAACTTGTTTTTCTATTATTCTAAACTTCCAAAAATGAAATTAAAGTAGTTAAAGCATGCTTCATACATTTAACGTATCTTGGCAAGTTTTCAAGGTTATTGCAGAAGTGCTTTAATTTCAAAAGATAACTAATTAATGCAAACCTGGAAAAGAAATGGATGTTATTCTCTATAATTTCAAAGATTATGTTTGTTATTAGCACTCCTTTTGTTTAACGCCTGAGAGATCTGAGTACCCAGCCTACTGTTGAATTAATTGGTGACCAAGAAAAGATGACAGAGAGGGGAATCAAATATGGATGCCATCATGATCAAGAATATATACATTGACTAGAAAATATCTGAAAATATATAGATGAACATTCAAGCATTTATAATAATGAAAGTTATTCAGCAAGAGAGTTTTTGCACAAGTTTAATTTTCAGTAAAATTGTGTATATTGTGCACTGAGGAACTTAGTATGTAACTCATTATCATTATCCATTTCTTTAGAGGATGTATTCGGAGTATATTTAAATAATCATTATCTTCTAGAAAAGAGCACACAAAACTTTTCTCTCTGTGCAAAGCATGACACATATGCATACACTCCAGCATTTACCACAACCACAGTTACATATTTTCCAGGGCGTTTGAAGTCGAGCACATGCATGAAAATGTGTTACGCTGGACACGTGCAAACACACAAGCATCTACCACAACACCAGTTACATATTTTCCAAGGCGTGTGAAGTTGAGCACATACATGAAAATGTGTGAAGCTGGACACATATGCAAACACACAAGCATCTATCACAACCAATTACATATTTTCCAAGGCGTGTGAAGTCGAGCACATACATGAAAATGTGTGAAGCTGGACACATATGCAAACACACAAGCATCTACCACAACACCAGTTACATATTTTCCAAGGCGTGTGAAGTCGACCACATACATGAAAATGAGTGAAGCTGGACACATATGCAAACATACAACATCTTCCACAACACCAGTTACATATTTTCCAAGGCGTGTGAAGTCGAGCACACACATGAAAATGTGTGAAGCTGGACACATATGCAAACACACAAGCATCTATCACAACCAATTACATATTTTCCAAGGCGTGTGAAGTCGAGGACATACATTAAAATGTGTGAAGCTAGACACATATGCAAACACACAAGCATCTATCACAACCAATTACATATTTTCCAAGGCGTGTGAAGTCGAGCACATACATGAAAATGTGTGAAGCTGGACACATATGCAAACACACAAGCATCTACCACAACACCAGTTACATATTTTCCAAGGCGTGTGAAGTCGAGCACATACATGAAAATGTGTGAAGCTGGACACATATGCAAACATACAACATCTTCCACAACACCAGTTACATATTTTCCAAGGCGTGTGAAGTCGAGCACATACATGAAAATGTGTGAAGCTGGACACATATGCAAACACACAAGCATCTACCACAACCAGTTACATATTCGAAGTCGAGCACATACATGTACATAATCTCCTACCACAGACGCAATACACGTAACATTTAGTCCAAAGTATAAAGTCAAGCTCAAACAGGCTCACTGCGTGAAGTGGACACATGCATTTACTTATGCATCTTGCAAAACTACATCTGAACCTATATTCTAATAGGTGTTTAAGCAATTTTGTTTATTTTGTGAATATGTAAATTGCACCATTATGCTTACAAGATGTCAACATTATTAACCTGTACAGAAATACTCATTAGATAGCCTTTAATTAATAGTTTAAGTTGGAAATACTAGTACTTTGCCTGATTTATGTTGTGTAGTTTCTCGTCAGTGATCTTGAGTAATAACTGAGTATGGCATTTTTAGTTCCATTTAAACTGCAAAGTTTTAACACATGTACATGCACCATAAAGGATAAATAATATTGTATTGTATTTTAACCTTTTTTAATTTTATTCTTTGTCATTTTATTGCCTGTTCAAGTAAAAGATGTAATCTTGTAATGTTTGGAACTGTTTTTGGTAGATATTTATGAAGCAGAAATTATAACAGAAAAGGTTTCAATACATCTACACAAAAAGCAAATAAAAAAGAGTTCTCCATCTATCAGATATCAACAAATCAGATGAGTTAAAGGTTAAGTCATAGGGAATTTTAAAGTTTATTATATCTATATTCTGATATCTGATACCATTTTTACATTTTTGATTGTCCATCTACAGTATACAAAAATAGTATAAATTTTTATATTTTGTAGATGACAATCTCTTATACTAAATACAACTGGAAATTGATATAACGCTTGAAAATTTGTGTATTTTTATTAAGATCGAGTTTAACAAAAACGAGGTGGGAGTAACATAAAAGACACATCAGATACCTATTTATTTTAAAAGTCAAAAACCATTTGTTGAAATCTTAAGTACGAGTGTATTAAACAAAGGCCAGTATTTAAACAAGGATTTAAAAAAGTTTCATATATATATATATATATATATATATATATATATATATATATATATATATATATAATCAACTTTAATGCAGCATTAAAGGTGAAAGGTTAAATTTAATTACCTTTTCTTTTAAGTAAAGGTTACCTTTTCACCTTTACTTTTTGTAAAGTTAATACAAAGATGACCTTGCTTCTTGGAGCACCTTTAATGAGATTTACTTTGCAAGTAAAGTTTTGTAAAGCTATTTTTTCAAGCAGTGAAAGGTACCGTGTAATAGATTGTTTAGAATATCATTGGCGTATAATAATATTATTACTTTCTACTACATGTAATGTGTCGGCTAGTGTGATGTCACAGATTTAACTTGAGGCGCAAATAATGGGTAAGCAAGGAGGCTGATGCAGACCTAATATAATACTTGAATTTTGGCTTAATTTTTATTTCCAGTTATAGGAATATTTTTATCATTAAACAGAAAGTTAGACTGTAAGTATGGGTACAAAAATGCGCATTGTCAAAAATGCTTCTTTTTTTGGCATTTGCAACAAAATGAAATTAATAGATAACATTTATCATCAACTTCCCCCCCCCCCTTTTCAACCAAATTTCTATCCTTAAAAAAAAATGATGTGTAGCCTACAGCCTTTTTGCCTATATGGAATATACACCACAAAATATTTCCACACATCCTGCACCCAAACCCCACTTCTAACTCGATCAAAAATATTAATCTGGTCCCTTTGAATTTTTTAGCAGTTTGTAGCCCTTAATTCCTCTTTATTTTTGAAGATATTTCAAAATTGTGGCTATATTGGGCTTGTCCAAATCAACTTTATCTTTTATGTACAAGAAATCTAAGGGGGATGCTGTCAGATATATAAATTTGTATGTACATATATGCATGTATGTATCCGCTGCCATAGACATCAGAGATGCGGTATCGTGGTTGGAGGGGGGGGGGGGGCTCCACCCCTCCCCCAATTAATCTTTTACTATTAAAATTGTTCAGGAAAGGCTGGTTGGATTAGGCTGTGAAAAAAGTTTGAACCTAGAAACACCTTACTCCCATTTCCAACCCAACCCTACCCCACATATAATAGGAAATTAGAGTTAGTATTTCAGGTAAATTATCGAATATTTAATTTATCTCCGCAAGAACGATACCACCAGCCTAATATTATGCTATTCAGTATATATTTATGAATAAGCAGAGATTACAATTATTTTGTTCAAGTACATGTAATCAATTGTTAGGAACAAGTAAATTGTAAGAACTTGTTTCCGATCCATTTGCTTATGTCAATAAAATATGTTCAAAACAAACAAACGATCTGTTGAAACCACGCTGTTGGTAAACTACAATTCGAATTTCCTCCATGCTAATAAGTATACGTAAGTCTTTATCAATGAATAAATACCAGACGTTAACCGCAAGATATTGGGTGCATAATATATAGTCAATATATCATGAATAAGTATTTTAAAAAAATCATAATTTGTTATTACTTACCAAAATTTTGTCTGACTCCTATTTCTCCGAAGGTCGTAAAGGATACCGAGGATTTCCGAAAATTTTCGGAAGGCATTGCGCACGAAAACCTTGAAGTTGATGAACACGAAACTCTAAAGCTCATTTTCTCGTAAAAAGTTTTATTCTATTTAGCAAATTGTACATACCCAAAATTAGTGGGAGAACAATATCTAAAACTAAATACTAGGAGAAATAAGACATATATAGCAGATCTTATTTAATTTTGCAAGTTTTAGCTGGTCTACATAATGACGATATATAATAATACCAATATATACGTTGCTTGAAATTTAAATTTAAAAATTTCTATAATCATAAAATTTTGGCATATTTTTTGTATTTAAGGGACAAAAATATACTAAACTAAAATTAACTATTGACAATTTGATATTAAAAAGTCATTAATTTTCTGTTCAGAGAGGGTCAAAATGTTAAGGCGACCGGTTTTGGTCCACTTATTCTACGAGGCTACTTAATGCCAATATATAAATATGAGCGGTCTCCTAAATGGCACAACCATATATATATATATATATATATATATATATATATATATATATATATATATATATATATATATATATATATATATATATATATATATATATATATATACATATATACACATTAACTTGGGAAGAACAGCTTCATTATTTAATACGATTTCAACAGATATTGCCCGTACCGTTTTTTGAGTAAAAGACGCCAAATTTGAGGTATTTGACGTTTCACATGTACGAGTAAAGTTATTTTCTATGAAAAAATTGATTTATTTTTATACTATCGTATCAAAATAATTGAAATGGTAGAAATTGTCATATTTTATGCTTAATTTATCTTAATTTTTATTTCTGTTATTTAAAATGTAAA